GTTTCTGGCAGGGGTGTGGCTGGGGAAAGGGGGGCCCTGGTTTAGTTACAGATGCTCCGCTGCATCATCTCACGTAATCTTCAAAAGCGCGAAGAAGGCGTCAGCCCATCTTCCAGCCAGGAAAACTGAGGCTCCAGGAGGCGAGGTGACCCACAGCTGGGGACGGACCCACAGCCAGTAAACTGCGGCGTCAATTTCCACCCTGGTGGATTTCTTAATGAGTGCAGCCCGGGTTCCACGAGGACGTGCAGGCCAGGCCCAGGAACAGCGCCCGCAACAGGAAGTACAATCCTGCATTGTGATCGGCAACGTAATTATTAGGGAGGGTCGGTCAGATACCTTATTGGGCCCCCTGAGGTTCCAGGCGCCAGGACCCAGTGGAAACCAGAGAGACCATTCCCGGCTTTCTCTGGCAGCAGCATGCACACGGGAAGGAGGCAGGGGACGAGGCAGTAAGGGAATCAACACGTTCAGAGAGGGCCATGCCACAGAGCAAGGTGAAGGGCCCCAGCAGAGGAGCAGGAGCTGTCCTCCCTCCGGAAGCCCCGGAACTTTCTCTCTCCCACCCCCGCGGCTTTCCCCAGGGAGGCGGGATGTCTGTTCAGTGCAGCTGAATTCCTCCTGGAGTCCAATCCAACAGGTCTGGCTCTCCTCCACGCGTCGTTAAAGCAGATCTCAACATTAAGCATTCAAGAAAGCCGGGCCTGCAAATATTTACCTTTCGTTCAACAGCTTCCGACCCTCCCCTCAGGAGGCCCCATTAAGACGCCCTCCTCGGGGATGGGAGGCAGGGTGACTGGGAGAGCTTAATTCCAGACATTTCTCTGAGCAGGAGAGGCTGTTCAGACTCAGGGGGAGGCTCCCCAGTCTCTGCTCTGCTCCGCATGTGTGTGCACATGTGCACACGTGTGCGCGCGCGCGCACACACACACACACACACACACACACACCTTTCTTCCACATCCCACTGCATTTCAAAACCTCTAAAATTGTCCTCAGTCCGGGGTACAGCAGGAGAGGCCTGGAGGAAGGGGGATCCACAAATGCCTCTCCCCCAGACAGGAATGGCAGGGATGGCTGGGAGACCCTGCACCCTCTCCCAGGGCACCAGCCCCACTCTCACCCTGTGACCCTCAGCAGACTCCCCTCATTCACCCCTGCAAACCCAGCTCCCACCTCAGTGTCAGGCAGAGGCTTCTGACCAGTCCTGAGAGGCCACACCTCACGAGACTGACCGTGGCCTGCTTCAAATCCCAGCTCTAGCACTTACCAGCTGTGTGACCTTAGACAAGTCACTTTACCTCTCTGTGCCTTGATTCTGCATCTATAAAATGGGGACACAATAGTACCTACCACCTCACACAGGGGCTGTGGAATTCACTGAGGCCACAATCTAGAGCAGACAGAAGAGTGTTTGGCACAGGCCATGCACCATACGTCTGCTGTGGTTATTCATACGGTTATTAGATTCCCAGTATCTGAAATGCCGTCTCCTAGGCCGATCATCCTAAACTCATCATTACCAAGCTTTACGTTTCACATGAGTAGCAGACGAAATGGATGCCTAAACACAAAACATACCCAGCACATCACCTGGGGTATCATAGTGTGACTTCCCAGGCTGCTGAAGGCTCAGGGCTCTCCCACTTGGGGTCGGAGGACACTGGCCCAGACAGGCTCAGTGCCTTACCCGAAGTCACACAGCAGCAAAGCCACAGGACTGGAACATGCCTGCACGCAGATCGAGTCTTCCTTCCACCCCTTGCTCCTTCCACAGCACCCCCCAGCCCCAAGGAGGAGGAAGCAAAGGCACGGTGGGCCCCCGGGACCTCCCCCCTCCTGTCCCTGGCTGCAGTTCTGAGGACACTGGCCACTGCAGAAGGTCAGCCCTGCTGCTGCTGGGCAACTTGCAGCCACCTGTGCAGAGATCTATCCATGTGCTCTGAGCTCTGAGTGGGGAAGGCACCAAAAAAAAAAAAAAACAAAAATTAGAACAGCCCAGCTAAGCTGAAATGCTCTCCTCAGAGAGGAAGGGAAATAAAATTTGATGAACCTCTGCATAATGTTCAAGTTATGAACGCGTAAAGTGATATTCTGCACATATGCTGGGTCCCATTCATCTGCCCCCACATTGCTGGGGCCTGAGCTGTTAGGGACCGTTCCAACCAGGGCACTGGCAAACGGCAACTTCTTGCTGATGGGGTACTGTCTTCCGTCTCAGCAAAACAGGGCTGGCCGTGGGTGCCCCGGGCTCTTCCACGGCCGAGGCGGCAGCTGGTGCAGTGTTAATGGGGCGGTTTCAGACATCGGGCTGTATGGCTGCTATAAACGCTTCCTGAGCTCCTACTGGGGGTCCCGTGAGACGCCAGTCACTGCCACCTTCCTAATGAGTGTGCTCTGTCCACGCCCGGGGGCCAGGCGGCCCTGTATGCCTGGTTAGTCTGACCCCCGTCCTGGCCCCAGCTGAGCCGCCCCGGGACTGGACCCCTGACCTGGGACTTTGGCGTGGGGGTGCTGGGAAGTTAAATCCGCCTGATGATCATAAAGCTTGAGCTGAATGAGCGTGAGGCACAGCCAGGCCTGAGGTCTCCCAAGAGAAGAATTCAGTTTATGACCCCAAGAAAAAACCAATTTAATAAACACCTACTAGGGGGCCTGGCCTAGTTGTAGGTGCTCGGAATACAGTGGGGAATATGACAGCGAAGGCCTTCTGCCGTGGAGCTCACAGCCTGCAAACTATCCAACAGACAAACAGAATAAGGTCAGATTGCGTAGGTGCTCTGAAAACAACAGCGACTAGAACAGAGTGTGTGGGGCAAATTTAGACCGAGTGATTAAGGAAGGCCTCTCTGAGCAGGCGGCATTCAAGCCGAGGCCTGAGTGACCCAGCCAGCTGAGTCTTCTAAGCAAGGGCGTAGCAAGTGCGAAGGGCCCCAAGGGGGTGAGCTTGCAGTGCTCAAGGGACAGAAGGGACACCCACATGGCACAGGAGAGACAGGTCCGTGTGTGCCTCTACATGCGACTCCTAGGCTTGAAGCCCTTCTAATGCCCCGCAGAGAGTCCAGCTCCTCGATGCTGCCCAGCCCCGCAGCCTCCTTCCCCCTTTTCCTCCCCAGGCTCTGTCATCACGCCGGACAACCCTTCAGTTCCCTGCCACTGAGAGGCATTATTACACATCCAGTCAGCTCTCCTAAAAGCAGACCCTGTGATAAGGATTTGACAGGTAGTTTATTAAGGAGGTGGTCCCAGGAAATATGCTAACTAGAAAGTTAGCCTACCTTCCACTCATTCATTATCCACCATCCATCCATCCATTCATGCATCCATGCATGCATCCATCCATCCACCCACCCACCCACCTGTCCACCCGTCCGTCAGTCCGTCCATCCA